GGATTTGGGGAGCCCCAAGCACCAGGAGAAACCACTCGTGGCTTCCTTACACAGCAAGACCCCCACCCCAGCCCCTCCAGCTCCCCGTGCCAGTGAGTGGCATCTGGTCCACACCAGCTGTGTCCTCAGCTCTGCTTTACTGGATGCTCCTTCCAAGGGGCTCTGCCTGGTAAAAGCGCCAGAAGTTCCTGTTTCTGTTCTGTTTCTTACCAGCCATGATTTACTCACTGTAACTGGCTATTCATTATGTCCTGCACTGCATTATTAACTTGGTGATCGTACATTTAGCAGAGAATTTATGAGAAATGAGCAGACATTCATTATCAGCACCACCACAGGCTTTACTCTTATATGGTCTCCCCGCAGAGAGCGAAGCTCAGCTCACCCAGGGCTCACCCAGGGCTCACCCAGCTCTGCCCATTCCTTGGCTGGTGCAGGGGCTGCTCTGCACAGCTCTGGGGCTGCATTCCCCTCACTCAGGCCAGTCCTGAGTTTTTCCCTATTAAAAACTTTTCTGTTGGAATCTAACTGGCTTGTCTGTGCAGTCATGCCTTCTGTTGTCTGAAAATTGGTCAGTTTTCCCTGTTTTGTGGCAGGGAGCTGTGTGAGGATTGTGTGAGACATGTCTGTGCTTTCCAGCCACTGAACTGCAGCAGAAATGCCCTTAAAATACCTGCCCTGCCCTGCAGCTCTGAACTGGGGACCACAAGAGGAGTCACAGGGTTTTGTGAGCAAAGGGCACAGTGTCCTGCCGTGAGATTTGGACAAGTGTTCCCAGATGCTCTGCTAAAGAAACAACAACCACAGAAAAACCCAAGCAACAGCCAAACAAACAGAAATCCCAGGTGGAGTCCCAGAGGCACATGAGTTCCAGTTGGAAGACACTGTAGGCAGGTTGGAGCCAGGGCAGGCACTGCCATTTGCACGACCTGGGTGTCTGACAACCTCCCAGGAATTTGGATTCCAAGAGGAACACAATGAACCGGTTCCTCTTTGACCTTAGAGCCATACCACAGCTGTCTCTGCAGAGCATTCCATCTCGGAAACCTTTCCATCTGGGAAACCTTTCCCAGCAGAGAGCACACACCAGGAGCAGGACTTCTGGCTCCTGACGAGGGCTGGGATTCTCCAGCTGCAGGCTGGCAGCAGCAGCAAAGGCTGTGAGGAGCCAGGGTTCCAAACCATGGAGCCAGGAAAGAATGGGAAGAGCAGAGATGGCTGGAGAATCCTGGGCATTTCCCAAATTTTAGATTTTCATGGACACACACACACACACACACACATACACACGTGCATATATATATATTTTAAGGCAATAATTTAACTTTCTTCTCTGGTTCCCAAGCCTCCCAGGTGCCCTTCCAAAGGCCCAGTTTCTGAATATCCTGGGTGTGGCTGGGGAGGTCTGGGCAGCACCGATGCTCCATGGGGGGTGCTGCATCCTCTGATCCCAACGGGGTGTCACAGGCCCTGCAGGCTTCAGCAGAGGCTGGTGAAGGGAAAGCTATGCAAAACATGCCCCAAGGAACTGCAAAGCCATCCCAGATTACCTTCTTTGGAGTGGTTTTGGAAGTTACACAAAGGCAGAGCAAGTTCCCTGCAAGAGTCTGTGGGACAGGCACTGGCTGCCCCAGCGACCCCTGTGGTCAGAGCAGCCCCAGCTCCCTTCCACCTCCTGCCCTGGGGCTGCTGGCTCCCTGCAGGGGCTGGGGGCTTTCCAGGAGCCCCTGCCGTGGTGTTTGGCCTGGTGAGTGCCCTGCTTTACCCTCCACACGGGTGCAGTCAGGGCGGGTGAGATCCTGCAGCTTGGAGTGGGAGAAGCCTCTGGGTCCATTTAATCAGGCTTTGCACCACCTGAGAGCACTAACCCGGGGGCAGAGTCCCCATCCCTCCCAAATCCTTCCCTCCAGCACTGCCTGGCTTTGACAGCGAGCCCTGGGGACTTGCTTTAGCAAACCACAAGTGCTTCAGTGTCAAAACCTTCGTGGCCACGATCTGGGGCAGGTGCCCGTGGGGTGCTGTGCCAGTGGAAGGGACCCTGTGCCCTGAAGCTCAGCACAATCCTGCCCGGCCCCCCAGCAGCAGACCCGGAGTGCCCCGAGCCCGTCGTGCAGGGAGGAGCAGAGCACACTGAGGAACGTGACTGCCCCGCTCTGCAGACGGTGGGGATGGGAATTAATCCTCCCATTAACGGGTGAAATGGAGCATTTGTGTCTCACAAAGCAATTACACAGTAATAGCGGGAGGACGATGATAGAAATCGCATCTCTGAAGTTTTGCTCCAACCCAACACATGAATAATTCCTCCTAAACACTACTGGGAAAGCAGTATTAAAAGACTGATATAAACAAAAATTACTGGAAAAAAACAGACGAGGCATGTTTCATCACTCCGTCAGAGCCAAGCACAACTAAATTTATACAAAGTGGGCAGAGAAGCATGAAGGGGCAAAGACATTTGTTACTGCTCCGTGTGAGATGAGCTCACAAGGAAATGCATGCTTGATCTTGGCAGTTTTCTGATGTCTTACTCCTAAAGTATCAGCTTTAGCCTTGGTTTCCATGGCAGATACTTTTCTGAGCTTGTATCTTCCACAGATATTGCTAATTTATGCTCTCTGCAAATACCTGCAGAGCGATTCCATGTGCAGTGGGAGTGGTGACAACCAGGAGCACGTGAACATGCCTCAGCTCTTGTTTTCAACCAGGGGACACGAAAGGGTTTGTTTTCTAGAGCCAGAAGATCTTGTCTGATCTTCTGGCACTGTTTTTTTGCCCTAAGAACCCTGACACTGTGTTATCTGTCCAGTGAAGCAAAGTACCTTCAGCATATCAGCTGGATCCGTGTTGCAGGCAGGTTTCGCCCTCCCAGAGCACTCTGGGCAGCTCTGAGCAGGCAGAGGGACGGGCAATGCACGTGGCCCTGCTCCCTCCTGCTCCCCCCTCACATCTCATGGTAACAGAGTCTATAAACCATGAGGGTCTTTCCCCAGGCAGAGACCCAGCCACATCAAAAACATCCTATTTTCAGGGTGAATTTACCAGCCCTGCAAACACCGAGCAAACAGTGGCCGAGGTGCAATTCTCACCAATTCAGCAAGACCACGGCAAGGTGAGAGGCTGCTCGTCTGGCTGGTGAAAGGAGAACCCCAGGGGTTTGCAGGGCTGTTGTTTATCCACTGAAGCGTGGAACAGCCTGCACGTACAGGAGGAATTGGGACAGACTCGTAAAAAGGAACTCACACAAAGACAGGACCAGCGGGAAGCAAAGGCACGTGCAGGGAGAGCTCGTGCTGGAGCAACGGCATGGAACAAAGTCCCAGCAGTGGTGGGGAAACCCGTGTTCTGGCGGGATGTGGCATGTGCAGGGCACAGGGCTGTGCCAGGGCATGCCCACAACCAACGGACGAGTCCCAAGTCCCAGGTAGGAAAGTGGTCAGGCACCGAAATGAGCCCAATCCCTCCCCTAAGGATAAAAGCCTGGCAAGCCCCAGCCAGCTGGATGTGGACCTGAGCCCGGATGGAACTGTGGTTGCCTGTCACTCTGGGGCCCAGGCAGCCACCTGCCCCACTCTGCACATCACCTGGTGAGCAACAGCTCACAGGTAATGCCCTGCTCTGCTCTCAGCCAGCACAGGCACCTGCACATGGGCTTCAGGTGCTCTCACCTCTCCCCTGGCTTCCCCTGGCCATTGGAGAGGGGGTTTGCTGGGGCTCAGACGTGTCCCCTCTCTCTGCCCGAGGGAACAGAAGTTTTAAAGGGAATGTGGAATGAGAAGCATCTGGCTGATGTTCCTTTGGATCTGCTCTTCCCTGTGGTCAGAGGTCACCTCCGCAGCTCTCCGGTAAACAAGGGAAACCCCTGGTTGGAGTGGGATGGGGACGGAGGCTGTTCCTGGAGTCCTTCAGCAAGGGTGAGTAACAGGGTCAGCCACAACAGTAAACAAGCTGCTAACTTTCCAAACACAACCTCTGCAGCATCCGGCTGCTTTAAAACATTAACCAAAATACACTTATCTCTGGCTCCCGGCCTCGAGTGACTTTTGAACCTGCAGTTATTCTGGGCCGGGTCTGACTGTGCTCGGGAACAGCAGCTGTCTGAGCCCAGCAGGAGCTCCAGTGGCCGGAGCCACCCCCTTGCAGGCAGCTGTGCCCTGTCCACGGTGTATCTGGAGTGGGAAGGGACCCATAAGGGCCATGAAATCCAACTCCCTGCTCCTCACAAGGCTGCCAAAAACTAACCTAATATGACTAAGAGTGAGTCCTCCCAGCCCAAGGGCTTGGCGTTGGCCAAGGGTGGTGTGGAGAGCACAGACTCTTTTGGAGCAGAGGTGAGTTTTCTTTCCAGCCCCGGTGAGCAGGAAATTTAAGAAAAAGGACACTGGAGGCAGGAGCAGGGCAGCAAACTGAGAATTTTCCTGCTGCCCCGAGAGCATTGCCATGTGCAGCTGGGCAGCCGAGGGTGTAAAACCTGGGCATCCCCTGCCTTTGGGACAGCACTTTCCAATTAGAAAATGCAGCTCTGTGTGCACTAAAGATGAGCTACATCTGCTGGGAAGCAGCAGAAAGGCCCCCATGCCCAGACAGGAGCAGGTTTGCAGTGTTACAGAGCCAAGTGCTGGGCCGTGTGTGCAGGCTCCAGCCAACACCTCTTGCTAGGATTGCAACAGTTCTCACCTGGAGTTTTACAGGTTTATGATATGATATATTTTCTGCACGTGATGCTTTTCACGTGCAACAAGGGCAGGAGTGGAGTTTGGGCTGTGCTGGCTCAGTCTCACAGCAGTGGTTGAAGCCTGTTCTGTGGTGGGCCAAAGAAAAGCCATTTCTGTTGCAGAAGCAGAGAGAACTTTCCATCTTTTCCGCAGGATGGGAACAAGTTGGCAACTTAACTGTTAAACCGGCCTGCGACTGTTGGGCGTTGACATCATCATGATCTCACCAGTGTAACCTGAGCCCTCCAGCTTTTCCTCCAGCCTGCCCTTAAATACCAGTCCTGGAGCCAGCACAGCACCCATCTCTCCTACTTGGAGCCCAGGGCAAAGCCGGCAGCACCCACGTAGATGAAAGCAAAGCCAAGCTCCAGCCCTGCAGCCATGTCGACGTCCCTGCGGGTGAGCCCCTCGGTGCACGGCTACCGCTTCGACACCGCCCTGCGCAAGAAAGCCACGGCCAACATCTTCGAGAGCATCACCCAGGAGTCCCTGCAGAAGCTCTTCAGAAACTCCGGGGACAAGAAGGCGGAGGAAAGAGCCAAGATAATCCTCGCCACCGACCAGGACGTGGAGGAGAAAACGAGAGCGCTGATGGCACTAAAGCAGAGGAGGAAAGACAAACTGCTCCAGTTCCTGACGCTTCGGAAATTCTTCATTAAAGTTCACTGAGCTGGCAAAGGGAGCAGAAATGGAGGAGAACATTTGGGGACGGGACTGTTTGTGACCTCCTGCCACACTCAGCATGCTCCACTGCCCCGTGGAACTGGGGACCTGACTGACTGCCCGCAGGGCTTCAGCCCCGCAGCAAACTGTGCACCGAGGGCGGCGTCAGTGCCCAGGGTACCATCGGTGCCCAGGGCAGCATCGGTGCCCACAGCAGCATCAGTGCCCATGGCAGCGTTGGTGTGGACAGCAGCACTGGTGCCCGTGGTACCATCAGTGCCCAGGGCAGCATCGGTGTGGACAGCAGCGTCGGTGCCCACGGCAGCATCGATGCCCACGGCAGCGTTGGTGCCTGTGGCAGCGTTGATGTGGGTGGCAGCGTGGTGGCCAGAGGCTCCCAGAAGGAGGGCAGCTCCCAGAAGGAGGGCAGCTCCCCGGGGGAGGCAGCCAGGCTCCTCTGGGCAGCCGTGGGACTGAGATGTGGGGGATCCCCCCACTGCCGGGTGTGACTCCGGCCCTTCTGACAGACTCGGTGCTCACTGACTTCACCCGGGGGCTCTGCCCTCTCAAACTCGCTGTGTTGAAGCCTGAGCCCTGCAGAGCCTCCTGTTGTGGCTGGTGGGAGGCTCTGGAGACCCATCAGCTCCTGATCAGGGTCACTCTGCATCTGTTCAGTGTGAGGTGCAGCAAGTCCAGCCATCAGGGAACACGTTTGCTCCAGAGTAACTCTGCACAACTGTACCTTTCCTTCCGAAGCTCTTTGTGTGCAGTAAAAGTCATTTGCACAGAAGCAATAATAATGACAGATCTCCTTGAATTTACTGTGAAGTTCCTTAATATTTTGTTCACTTCCCATTAACACTAAAAATCTAAACATAATAACTCCGGTTCTTCTCTGTGTAGGTTATGGTTGCTATTAGATGAGTACTTACTTCATGGTAATATTTTATGACAATGTTATTATTCTATCGACTATAATTTATTGCATACGGTAACCTGGAAATTAATAAATTATGAAGTAAATATAAATTATCTTGTCTGAAATGCTCAGTTCTCCTAGAGTGGTGGGGTTAGACTTTTTTGCTCATTTCATAGAGACTTAGTTGAGGAGCAGACTACCTGCACCTCTCCTTCCTCGCCCTGGTGTGGCTTTGGCAGCCCATCCTCAGGAGCTGCAGCAGCCCCCGACTTCCCTGCAGCCCCACCATCCCACCTGGCAGCACCAGTTTGGCCCATGGTTGCTATGGTGACTACAGCATCCCCCAGAAATACCTCACCAAATTTATTGTAGACCAACTCCAGTGTTAGTTCCCTCTCTGTGATAAAGGAGAACGACACCTTCTGCAAGGAGGAAAGAAGGTTTAGAAAATGAGGGTCCAGGGCCAGGGTGGGCAGCGAGGCTCGTTGGTCCTTGGCATTCCCCTAGAGCAGAGTGGGAGCCTGGACTTGGCTCCTCACCATCCAAAGAACCAGAAGTGAGTTATGAAGCTTTGGCAGTGAAATTGGACAGTTTTTCTGCAGGTTGTGCTGCACTATCATGATAGACGATGCTGAAAATACTTAAAAATAGCCAAGAGTGGTTATTTATAAGTCTGTCCTTTAATAACCTGCTGGGTTAGAAAAAAACATTCCCATGACTCTGCTTAGAGCAACAAAGATAAAGCAGCTTGGAAGAGTGATAGCCCAGCTACAGTTTTTTTGCCTACAGTAAGAACTGTAAATTGCCTATAAGTCAGGGAGACCAGAAATAACCCTTTACATTGCCTAATAGAATGGGCAATTGTAATTATTTATGGCTGGAGGGGAACACGTGGTGATTGCCCCTCCCAAGAAGACTAGAGAGAGCTGTTTGGGGATGAACCTGTTTTAAAGAGCCTCCAAAGGCTTTTCAGAACTGCCCTTGCTCAGAAAAATCTGCCTCAGAGCAGGTTTGCTCCGGAGGAAGTTGTCAGTTTTCCAGCCCTCGACCTCTCCCAGGGCACTGTCCCACACTCACTGCAGCTGTTGCACCCACCCACGACACATCCCCACAAACTGCCTCAAATGGGCTGTTTCCAAAAAAGGCCAAACAGGGCCCCTCAGTGGCCGCCCACTGCCCGGACCTGCCCCCTCAGCCCCTCCTGTCCCGGGGGATGCAGCGAAGTTTCTCCTGCTCTGGTGGCTTTTCCCATCAGAGCTGTTTCCTGTGCCACAAACACTCACAGCAGAAGCCAAACACAGAGCCCCCAAACCCACGTGTTACTTGCTGGGACCTGACAATGCTGCTGCCAAGGATGCTCTGAGAACACCCCGTGGGGACCAAATCAGCTTTACTCTGTCCCACTGCTTCCCACAGCCCCAGCTCTGCCTGTGGGGCTTTGCTCCCCCCTCCCCTGCCTGGGCCATTTGGGGTGCCCACAATGCACCCCCCGTACCAGGGCCAACAGTGGGTTTGGCAGAGCCTTGTCACTGTCCCCAAAACCAAACAGAGCTGCCCAGTGCTCCCCACAGCCTGGGCAGTCTCAGGCATCAGCTGCTGACTGTCTTTCCTTGTGGGACATGAATGTGACAGAAGCCACGATTGTGGCAGACTGAAACCAACACCCACTGAAGTGGCTGCTGCTGGTACAACCCAGGATTGCCCAGATATTCCTGCTCACAACACTTACATAACATGATTGATAAGATCCTGTGATTTGGAGACTTTATAGTCCCTCTTGTCTCATCACTCTGAAATTATTGGCTAAAGGGGCATCCCTGATTAAAAAACAAAAAGGGCATTTGCAAAGAAGTTACGTGTTTATTGGATTTTTGCAGAGGAAAAAGGCAATTTTCCTTGGTCGCAGCCTGTCCACTGCTCTGGCAGGTTTGTGCTCCAGGAAGGTGTCTGGCAGCGGGGTTACAAAACACTGTAATGAATTCCTATGGAACATTTGACAGCAAGAGTTCGAGGTACAAATGTCCAGCCATCCCAGGGCCCTCACACTCACGGTGCTGCTGCTCTGCTTCCCTCCAGGGCTGTGCCAGGGTGGCTCAGAGCCCCCGGACCCGACCCTGGCAATCCAGCATTTGTGGCAGTCCCTGTGCCGGGGGGCACGGCCAAGGCAGGCACTGCCAGTGCTGTGCCATGCTGTGCTCCAGGGCCCTGCCGTGGTGTGTGCAGGGGAGCTGTGGGAGGGCAGGTCACCCGGCTGTGCTGTCACCCATCAGTGTGACAGGGCAGGTCACCCAGCTGTGCTGTCACCCGTCAGTGTGGGAGGGCAGGTCACCCAGCTGTCACCCATCAGTGTGACAGGGCAGGTCACCCAGCTGTGCTGTCACCCATCAGTGTGGCAGGGCAGGTCACCCAGCTGTGCTGTCACCCATCAGTGTGACAGGGCAGGTCACCCAGCTGTGCTGTCACCCGTCAGTGCCAGGCCCTTCCTGAGCGCCCGGTGCCGCAGACTCAGTGTCTGTGGCCGGCGTGTGCTGCACCCCGAGCCAGCCCGGCTGTGCTGTGGCCAGACAGGGCCCATTGTCCCCCTCCCCACGCAACAAACGGAGGAAAAGGCTGTTGGAGGAATTTCCTCCCTCCAGGAGCCGGGCGTTTCCATTAATTCTTCTCCGTGAGCCGAACTGGCCGTACTGGGTGTCCCTCTGTCCCGGCATCCTGAGGAACATACGTCCCAGCAGCTAATTTTATCTGGCTTGTCTAACAGGGCACAGTACAGCAGTGGCTGTGCAGCCCCAGCCTGAGCAGCTGTGAGGAGAGCACACCAGTGGTTCCCCATCACCACTGCCTTCTGGGGAGAAGCCACAGAAAGCCAGGACAGAAAATAAGAAGGCTTTTGGCAAAGGCTCTGGCTTGGTAGGCTGGGGAAGGTGGGGACTGACTACCAGGGTGCTGGAAAGGGAGAGCCCAGAGCAAAGAGGGTGTCAGTGACAGCAGACAGCAGAGAGGTCCCACCCTCTGCCCTCCCATCAAACACCCATCTCTCCCAAAAACTGCTCTTGCAACCATCCTATCCACGGAAAGATGGGGCTGGAACAAGTCAACAGCCCATCTCACCCTGACCACAGGGTTCAGGAGAAGATGGGGACGTTCCCCAGTGTCGGAACACCCCGTACTGTGACCTTCAGTTCCTGGTGAAATCCAGCACACGAGGCACGAGCAGAGTCCAGAGCAGAGCCCAGCCAGCCCTCACCCGGCTGTGTTTGTGTGTGGGGAGATGGGGTCAATGGCAACACCTCGCTGGCAAACTTCCCTTCCACACCACGGAGCAAGGGGCAGGTTGAAAACTGACTGTTGGGCTGAGCTGCTGCTCTGCTTCACCTGGAGGGACAGACTCTGCTTTGGAAAGCAGAAGAACAACACCCCAGGTGCCCCCAGCAGCCCTGGCTCGGGGGGACCTCGTGCTGGGGAAAACAGACAGAGATGAAACATATTTCATCTGTGGCTGCCAAGGGAAAGCTCCACTCTAAAGAGGGTTAAATGTGAGTGAGGAACTGCAAAGCAAGAGATTTGTGGCTGATTTAGTGCAGTTTTCACAGAAAAGAGCTGGTCTGGGGTTTCAAAGCACAAATGCCTCACATGCAGCAAAATGATGCTCCAGTGTCACTTTGAAGTGATAGACAAGGCTGTTTATGAGAAGAAAGGCCTCCAGAATACTGCAAGCAACAAGAGATGGCACAATTGCCATTCATCTTTGCTAAAAACCAAAAGCTGGGCTGTGACCAGAATCTTAATACACAGCCCTGGGAAAAAACCCCTATTCCCGGCGAGCTGTGCCCCGAACCGGTGCCCGTGGCGTGGCGTGAGCTGCTCTGCTGTGGGAAGCAGTGACATTTTTCTGGTCCGTGGCTCCCAGCAGGGGGTCGGGGAAGTGAATCAGAGCCGAGGCAGCCAGACGGCACCTCCCGGGCTGCGGCTCCTCCGGGTGCCCACGCGCGGGAGCATCATCGGGAGCATCATCGGGAGCATCATCGGGAACATCACAGGGAACATCAGCGGAGCATCACCCGGGCGAGTGGGCAGCAGCTGGGGCTCAGCACCACGGCCTGCGTCCTCCTCCGTGGAAAACCCGCTCCTGCCAGTGACTGAGCGCTGCCCCGGGCCTGGCAGGGTCGCTGATCCATCCTACAGCCACCGCTTCCCAAAACACCCGCCTGGAAACCCCGTGGAGCAGCTCCCGGGCGCTGCAGACCGGGCAGATCCCGCCGAGCCCTGCCCGCTCCCCGCCCGTCCCCCCGAGCTGGCCCGGGGGCCAGGACCCATCACCCCGGGGGGAGAAATTCCCCGTGGTATCCCTGTGAAAGCTGCTGCTCTCCCACATCACTGTAAAACAATTCCATTTTTAAAACATCCAGGTACCAAAAAAAAAAAAAAAAAGGGTTTCCATTATCTTTGCAAAGTAAAGATGCTTTAGTGCCTTAAGGA